TGATTAGATAATTGCATTAATGAGAAATTGAACAGGTGTTCCTAATAATCCTTTAGGTGAGTGTATATATATATGTATATATGTATACATGTGTGTGTATATATATATACATACACACACACACACACATACACATATACATATATATATATACATATGTACACACACATACATACACCATGGAGAAAATCAAGAGGCACTCTATATTTTTGAAAAAATCAGCATTTTTGAGTCCTGGTTTTACCCTGGTTCTGCTGGCAGGAGGCTACGCTGAGCAGCAGGTTTCTTCCAGCCTCAAAATTTCTAAGACAGCAGAACACAAGAATAAGGAGAAGCAGGAGACACTGAGAACGACCAGAAAACCAGCCAGGTAGAGGACAGGAGCAACTTTCTAATACCAGAGATAACCGTCAACTTATCCGACAGTTTTTAATGAATCGGAGGATGACATCAAGTGACCTTCAAAAGGAATGGGAAACATTAAGCGCAGGTGTGAAGTGCACTGATAGGACAGTATCAGGCTCCTAGAAGCAGGACTGAAGGCCCATAAAGCAAGGAAGCAGCCCTTCATTAATGAGTAACCATCATGCTGTGGTCCCTTCATTTTCATTTACGGCTGTATATGCCAACCACTTACCATCCCTGAGGCTCTAGCTTGGTGCTTCATAATCACAGATTGATAATGTCTGGCATGTGAAACTGCATCGCATCTACAAACATAATTAATGTGCAGACACGAGTATTCAGCACAGCTTCCACCTAGCAGTAGAATTGTGTAGCAGCTGGCTCCCCCTGGTGTTGACAAAGACACATTCGGTCACTCTAAGAATTAAGGTGGAGGAATAGACTGTCAATTGCAGTTTTAGGTGTCCAGCGCTCAGAGATTCTGTGGATTTCTGTGAATTAATTTATTTAGTTTAACAAAATATTTAAACTGATAACGGTAATAATCAGAGAAAATGACAGATTTATAATGGAATGAAACTACTGGAGATAGAAGGCAGGATGTGATGAAAGACAAATATAAACAAGAGACATGGAATTCAAATGTAACACTGGAATATCTGCGTAACAACAAACATACTCCGCCTTGCGACTAACAGTCAGACAGACTGAAGATGAGACAAAATGAAAAAGCTTCAGTTGTTGTATAACCAGGCAT